ACCACCTCCGCTTTGCTGATATCATTCTTATTACACCAAACATCACCCAAGAGGCACAAATGCTGGCTGACTTCGACCGTGAGTGTGGAAAGGTAGTGTGGAAAGGTTGGACTACAGAATTGCACCAGCATCCTGAAAACCTCTAATCCCAAGCAAATCCATGCTTCCTAAAAAACCTTAATCCTAATCCACCTACTTCAAACCAAAATATTGCTGAGTCTCTTTCCAGCACCCTCTACTGAAGTACTGTAGAGAGGAAGGAATAGAAGTATTCCAAAGAAAGGATGTGCTTAGTAGTGAAGCCACGGACATAAGGGAAAGGTGCAAAACCATGTATATATAATCCCATGTATATACATTTTATGTATATAATGTAAAAATGTTCATGCACAAAATTCAACTAGTATTTCACCATTGTGTACATTATATAATATTACACATTATGTATTTAAGGTACTGAGCCCACAAGACAATATTTGCTTTTCTGGGGGTGGTGGTCTTGGGTCACATCTGGTGTTACACAGGGATCATTCCTAGAGATACTCAGGGCATCATATGTGGTGCCAGGGATCAAATAAGGGCTGGCAACATGCAAGCAAACACCTTACCCCCTGTACCACCTCTTGGTCCTATAGTACTTTCACATGTCTATGAAGTAAGCATTTACTCCTTCCACATATGATTAAGTGAAGCTGGAAGAAGAGATCCAACTTAATCAACAGCAGTGACTCATCTCCAAGTCTTCAGAGTATACGTCTAATACATTTCCCATTCCCCAATCACAGCCTCTAGGTTTGCTTTGGACTTTTTCATTTTGGGGGGGGGGGGGGGGGTCGGTTCACACTGCTAGTGCTCAGGCGCTACTTCTGTCTCTGTGCTCAGAGGGCCATATGTGGTGTTGGGGACTGGAACTGGGGTTGGCTGCATGCAAGGGTCCTTTGCACTGTCTCTAGGTTCTGTTTTGGACTATTTTTTCCACAGACCACAAGACAGCGAATACCAGAGTGGCTACAAACAGTGTTTGTGACACAGCGCAGTCTTGAATTAAGCTAGTATCATGTTGCACCTGGGTCAGTGTGGCGTGTTCCCACTACTACATGGTTCTGGCCTATTCCATTTTCCTTTCTCCAGAACAGGATCTGACAGGATGCAGATTCATGTATAATCTACAATTAAGTAGCTATTTGCTGTAGCCTTTTTTTCCTTTCACCTTCACCTATAGTCATTCAAATACCTGCAGGAAGATCAATTTACCTTCTAGTTTACAGAAAGGAAAGGAAAAAGAGACAAGTATTGACTTAGGATTTAAAGTTGCAGGACCCAATCATTTGCAAAGATAGAAACTCACTATATAAAAGAGACCAACTGCACTAATAATACGATATTTAAATAAGAGACTGCAATTAAATTTTTCAAATATTTTATTTTTAGTGTTTTAAAACATTTCAATACAACAAAGATATAAAATAATATATTAGTTAAATCTGGATTTAATTTAGAATCAAGATATTTCCTTATATACAAAACTGTGCTTCAAGGTATGGCTACCACAGGGACTTTCACATCTTCAAGTAATACTAGTTTCTCTGTGGACAGGGTGGCATTTAGGTAGAATAAAACAGGTCCATTTTAGGTCAAGCTAACTTTGCTTCCCCATTCAGTACTGGTTTCCACTTCCTTTGTTCCATAAGATCAGTAATACTTCAACTGTTGTAGTAATCTATAACTTTTCAAAATAAATATCACTAATGTCCAGCATTTTAAGATGACTTTACTTTTGATAATATTGCTTGATTATAGTCAAGACAACCCAGTACTTCAGGATTGAAAAAGATCCCAAAAACACTGAAATTGACAATAATTCTTCTCCTTCTATACAAAGTTTCCTTGTGCTTAAATATGTCATATGCTGAATAAAAAATCCTTTGGTTAAGTTAGGGAAGACTACATCCTTAAAATTAACATTAGTGGTAGCTATGTATGGCTTATAGACATCATATGTATTTTTAAAATTGATTTTGTTGCAAAATATTGATTCACATTTTACTTGAAATTAGTGTCACTCAATGGGGTGATGACAGGTTGGGGAGGGGGTCAAAACCTTACTTCCATAGTAATCTCTGTTATTCAAAGCCAATCAAAGGCAGAGGAGAGGAAAAGGCTTCAATCTCTTTTCCTCTCATATATCACCCAAGGCAACCTGTTTTTAGATGTTACGAACATTCTCCTCTACAGAGGTACTGGGATAATTTGTGTTAAACTTTTTTTTTTTTAAAAAAATGCAAACTGCCTTAAAAGCCAAGTAAAGTCATTAAAGTGACATGTTCTGTTGGCTTTGAAACCATCTAAACCAATACTGTTTCAGAAAGCAAATGGACTTTTCTAAACAAGAGCTTATCTCAAATGTCTGAATACCCTGAACTAACAAATGACTATATTACTATATTTTTAATAAGGGATAACAAGTCTACAAAAAGGTTACCAAAGGTTTATTAGATCAAAGACTTTAAAACAAGAAAATTGTTAATATTCTCAAGCATTTTGGAATTAAGAATCCTTTAAAAAATGTTTTCTATGACATTAATAATTAAACTGCCTTTTGCTGAAAACAAAGTAGCTGTGAGTATGTTATGAATATGACTTGGAATATACAAAAATCCCCAAGCTGATAGCCCTAAAACTGACAGATTTTACCAGCTAAGAAAGGGTTTTACCCCTCTTTTCTTTATTTACAAATGGGAAGATCTTTAGGCTCCTAAGTCTCAGGTAGGTCCAGGGCAGGAAAGAACAGACTGCAGTGTCCAGAGTTACAGTGCAGGCTGGTCTCTTTGCCAGTTGTGGAGTTCGTGTGTTGTGTATGAGTATGTATGGGGACCTGTGCATCTAAGTGCACACATATGACTGGCTCTGAGGCTAATAGTCTCATTCCTTTGTAACTTAAGAAGATACGAGTAAGCAGACCCAACATATGAAAGCTGAATTTTTACCCCGGAAATTCTGGCTACAGAAAACTAAAAAGACAGTTACGCTAATAACTGTGCAACATTGCTCCCCCCCCCAATTTCTCTTAAAGTATTGGTGATAACATTAACCTTCACTTCTGTAAAACCTCTTAATCCCTAGAAGCTTCAATTACCCTTCAGTAATATTGCCCAAATATATGGATTTACAAAAAGAAAGAGAAAAAAGGCAATGGTGGAGCTGAGGAGGATGCTCAGGAGGCGGGGACACGAGTTTTCAAGTGGCAAGGCCCTGCGTGCTGCTCTCCCCCGAGCATCACTGGGTGGAGCTCTTGAACTTCCCCTTCCACAAACCACAGCTGTGGCACGGGGGTCCCCAGCACCTCTGGGTCCAAGCACTGCCAGGCCTTAGCACTGACTGTCCAGCTCAACTACCTATGTATCTCCAGTTGTCTCCAGACTCCCTGAGCACTGCATGAGCACCCCCCCCCCAAACACTCCAAAAGGCAACACTATTTCAGAATACTGAAACGGTTTCTTTTCCATAGATTTCAATCCAAGGCTTTAACTAGAATGTCCAGTTTGCATTCTCCACCAAAAACTTACCTGGTTTATCTATACTAAGGACTCAGTATTAATGATGTAAGACTCACATGTTTGCAACTACAGGACACAAGGTCAAAAAATATGAAAGCCTAAGGCATGTAGAGTCTCTACCTAGCTACCCTTAATGTAAATATAAAAACTACCTTCACTGTGGACTAGATTTTAACAACAAAACATAGAACCTGGAAATGTCTGGACAAAACAAAGTGACTAAAATGCAGGCTTGAGAAATGTGTGTGTGTGTGTGTACACACACACGCACACAAACACACACACACACAATATGTATATATATATAAAATTTTTTAAAAGGAGAAGATTTTTGTCTCAAAGTTTTCCAAGAAAAAGACTTGAAGGGTTGGAGGTGTGGCTCAGTGGTAAAGTTCATGCCTCTCATGCATGAGTCCTGGGTTTTACCCAGACACCACAGGAAGAAGGAAGGGACTTAGGGAGGAAGGGGATCAAGAGAGAGAGGGAGGCAGGGAGGGAGGGAGTTAGGGAGGGAGGGCAGGGCAGAGGGAGGAAGAGGAAGGGAGAGAGGGAGGGAGGAAACCTGAGAGACACACAGAGGGAGAAGGCAGGGGGAGAGGGAAGAGAGACAGACAGACACTGGAGACGATTACTCATGTAAACATACTTTGTAATGGTTATAACAATAAATAATAATCTAGCTTACTTTTCCCTCCCTCAAAACAGCAAGGTAAACGAAATGAAGACTTTTATAATTTTACTGAAGTCTGCTGGTAGGCACTCTCAATGCTAATAACTACAAAAAAACCTAGGTGCATTTCCATATGAAGGTAAGAAAACTGATAAAAAAATTTTTATCATTAATTAACTAGTTAACATTTTTAATTAATGTTGCCATGAACTTTTTCAAACATTTTTCTACTTTCTAGCATCAGTTCTCACCTAGTCAATTCAGTCCTGTTCTGTCATTTGGAAAAATAGCAGTGACAGATCTACCCTTTGACTTCAAGGATCAAATTTCTCTACTGGCATAAGAAACCCTTCACTCTTCATGATTATGCATTTTCCTTAGATGAAATGTTGGTGCATTTGTTTCTAGCATGTAATGGAATAAAAAAAACCCTTGTGATTATAAGATACTGAAGCATAATAAAACTTGAATTGCATTGTGCTGTTTCTTAAGTGAAAAAAAAAAATTGTTCAGAGCCAGACCCAAATTGAGGTCATTCGGCACTTACCGAAACATATTTGCATAACATTCTTTTCCGGTCACTTCACTCAATTTTCCCTATAGCTTATACTGGAATGGGAATATGACTCAAAGTGCAGAATTAACATATTTCACCTATATAAGAAGCAGACTTTTTCTAAGAAGCTTAACTGTAGACTACAATTTGCCAACACCTTTTTCAACTCCCTTAAAATGGAATGTAAAAAAGCACACAAGTATTCTAAGAGCTAAGGTCAACAACTGGGGTTCAAACGCCAATCCCAAAACCATGCTATTATCATAATATCTGTACAAATCAGTAAAAATAAAGTGACAAATGTTATCAGAGGTCAAATTCCTTAAGGTACTAAATTTCTGGTGCTGTAAACTGCAACTACTATCACTTCCTGACTTCCAAAGACTAAATAAAAAGAATTTATGTACACAAATAAATTGTATTTAAAAACAAAACCAAACCTTTTCTTAACAAATATATCTAAGACTGTTTACTACCAATAACCAAGAATGAGAAATTTCAAAAACCAGAAAAGCTCTATAATGCCTGCAACCTGTTATAAATTGCTCTTCATAAGGAGAAAAAATATTCTATGCATGCATACCTCCCTACTTAAGAATATATGAACTTTAACACCTGGCAAAACACTCCATTATTTGGCTCATTAAATAACATCATTACAAAGCATAAAGTTGAGCATAACCTGTCTAACAAACAAATAGAACAAAGTTATTCTAGGTATCAACATTGTTAAAATTAAGCCCAAATTATTTTTACAAGGGCAACAAGTTTTTTCCTTCATGAATACTCACTGATGGTCATACTGAACATATGAACAAAACAGAAACTAACTCTGTTTTTCATCTTTGGTGAAAAGTGTCAATACAGTTTTCCAATTTCTCAGGAGACCAGGGGCTCCTCCTCGGTACTTCGCACACTTTTGTATGGCCCCTTCATCTCGTTTGTTCCAGAGAGCCCAATCATGTTCAGTTTGCTTTTCTTAAAGATGGTTAAGAGGAGAAAAATTATTTGTTATGGATGACTTCCTAAAGCTGCATTAAAAAAACCCAAAACCCAAAAAACAAAGGGATCATTCAAAGAATAATTACTGCTCACTTGGTAGGAGTTTTCCTTTGAAAATAAGGAATTTTGTAAAGCATTGTTTCTTGAATGAATTTCTACTTAAAAAAAATTCCTTCAAACAGCAAATTTCTTAAATTGACTTGCTTAACTTCAATAAGCAAATACTCAGCAGGTAAGGGTAACACCTTGACTTCATTTACAACATTAAGTCTGCTTAAAGGGGCAGAAAACATCCACTTAAGCTTTCTGTTCAAACAGATACAGAAGAACTCTTGATTGTACTTTCTTGCTTTCAATAATGGCAGTCTTGCACAGAATAGGGAACTTTACTTCGAGAATATTTAACCCCCAAAGCAAGGCATCCAGGAACAGTCTAGGGGAGAAAGCAAAATTTTTCATTTTCAACAGCTACTGTATAGTTAACCACAAACCTACTGCAAAGATTATTTTCACCCAATTAGTCTTTTCATTACTGTTGGTTTTGAAAATGGCCAACAATATTCATTAGGTACTGTACCATTAACATTACATTCAAAAAATGAAAACATGGGGAACCAAATCCTTGCCCTCCTACTCTGATGATATGCTCTGGTATTAGCCAAAGTATGGTAGTACAGAAAGAGTCTTGTTGTGATATAAAAGGCAATGAACACATCAATGGAATAATGTTCATGGGCAGCCAAAATGAAGAAGATTCCAAAGAGGTTGAGGACCCAGGATAAAGTGTGCAAGAAATTCCAACTTCTTGGTGTATCTGGGAAAAGGACAGAAAGATCATTTTTGAAACCATAATGCTTTTCAATCATTTAAGAACCCTATATTGCTTTCCTTTTTCTTTTTTCTTTTTTTTTGGGGGGGGTGTCACACCCAGCAAGGCTCAGGGCTTACTCCTGGCTCTGCACACAGGAATTACTCCAGGCGGTACTTGGGGAACCATATGGGATGCCGGGGATTGAACCAGGGTCGGCCGCATGCAAGGCAACCACCCTACCCACTGTACTATTGCTCTGGCCCCCCTATATTGCTTTTCAATCGTGTCTTAGGTTATTCTGATTCTTCCATTCTTTACAGAGCTTGACACCTTTCCCACAGCTAGTAGCTAGTAGCCTATATGTATATAAAATTAAGAAGATACTTACATTCAGTGACAAAGAAATTCAGCATAGTTAAGACGACTGTGTGGCCACTGAACATGTAATCTCCACAAGTGTGAACACCAGTCAGGGTCATACCAAAGCCACTCCAAATGGCAAAGGCCCGGTGTAGTTTCTCCCAGACGCTGCCATATACCTGCAAAGAAATTTATGGATTACTGCTCTAAATGTGCAGGGCACAGATACAATGAACACTGACACACACTGAATTTCAACTACTGAGTCAAAAGCAGAATGACTAGATGGAGCAAAAGCAGCAGGCTCCCAGTACAACTGCAAGCATCAAGAGAGAGGTGGGCTGCAGGCACAGCTCAGTGGGCTGGAGTGCATGCTTTGCACGTGGATCCCTGGGGTTTTCTGTTTTGTTTTGTCTGGGGATGCTCAGGGTTTACCCCTGGCTCTAGACTCAGGAACTTCTCCTGGCAGGGTTCGGGGGACCAAACGTGCCAGGACCTAACCCATATCAGACGAGAGTACAGCTGCTGTACTCTTGCTTTGGGCCCCAGGAGCCCTGGGTTTGCTCTCTGGCACCACATGGTCCCCTGAGCACAGCCTAGAGTGACCTCTAAGCACCATGCTGGGCATATTCCCTGAGCAACGCCAGGGTGATCCAAAAACAAAAAATGGGTTGGGAGCAGCTCAGTGATAGAACAGATACTTCACATGTGTAGCCCATGTTTGATCCCCTGAGGAAACCCCTCTCCACATCCCTTGCCAAAATGGATTGTACTCAGAAATATCTGAGCAATGAAATGGAATCAGTGTAACACCAATCTCTAGAAGTTTCTTTACAATGTATCTTTTAATTTCCAGTGGGATTGTCAGGATTGCCTCAGTGCATGAGGCAGCAAGAGGGATTAAAGGTTAGAGCCTTGGGGCTGGAGCCATAGCACAGCTGGTAGGGCATTTGCCTTGCACGCAGCCTACCCGGGTTTGATTCCCAGCATCCCATATGGTCCCCTGAGCACCGCCAGGAGTAACTCCCGAGTGCAGAGCCAGGAGTAACCCCTGTGCATTGCTGGGTGTGACCCAAAAAAGCAAAAAAAAAAAAAAAAAAAAAAAAAAAAGTTAGAGCCTCACACTTCCCCTTGATCCTGTAAAGCACTGGGCTTCTTCCAGTCACCTTTTTTGGAGATCCCAAACCACAAAGCTGTTAGGATTATCTTGACACATATGGATGACACCAGTGTTTGAACTCATGACTTCACAACACTTGCCTGGCAGGCATTTTAAGCTCCTGGGTCATTGAGGCAATAACAATTCTATGGTTTTGTTCTTGGGTCATGCAGGGGCTTCACACCCCTTGATGCTTAGAGGACGCTTCTGGCAGTGACTGGGGAACACTAGAGTGCTGGATCAAACCCAGGTCTCCAGCATATAAAGTATGTGCTCCAGCTCTTTCAGTTAATTAATTCCCTAGCCCCAATTCCAATGTTTAGTACACTCTCCTGGTAGCAGCTGCTTGGTGTTCCTGCCGATAAGGAGCCAAAGCCTGCTAGTTGGGATCTATTTTCCCTTTTTCATTGATAACACAATTTTATTTGAAGTGGCAATAGTCTCGGTAAAAATACTGCATTTTTCTGTTTCCTTTGCAGTTAGTTTTTGTGAAAATTCTATGTGATTTCCCATGTAATTATTAAAAAAAAAATTTTTTTTTTTGTTACTCAGGACTTACTCCTGGCTCTGCACTAGAGATTCTCCTGAATGGGGTTCAGGGAGCCATACAGGATGTTGGGGGCAGAATCTGGGTCAGCTGCATGCAAGGCAATCACCATCCCTGATGTACTATCGCTCTGGCTTCAAGATATGTATAATTAGATGTAAGTGGCAATACAAATGATTTCTGGAGAAGTGGGGCCTGAGACTAGCAGGCAGGGCGTTTGCTTGCCTTGCATGTGGCCAGCTCAGATTAAATCCCCAGAACCCTATATGGCCCCCAAAGCCTGCCAGGAGTGATCCCTGAGCACAGGGCAAGGAGTAAACCCTGAGCACCGCTGGGCGTGGACAAACCACCAGAACCCAACATAAAAAAAAAAAATCCTGGACAAGCTATTAAAAAAAAAAAGCTAAGAGGAAGTCTTGTCTAGATTTTCCTCTAGGTTATGACTCAGACTTGACAATCGAAGTTCTCACAGCAATCACAGACAAGGAAGTGCTTGTGAAAATGTAAGCTGAGTGCCAGAACAAAAAAGCAGAATAAAAATGCAGTAAAAATAGGAACTAGAAGTTTTCCCATGCTTGCATAATTTACAAACTACAAACCTGACCTGTGATACCTACTTTAAAATTTCTGAGACAATATAATCCATTAATATTATTTTTCTTTTTTTATGAATTTATTTATTGAATCACCATTAGAGCAGTTACAAAGCTTTCAGATTTAAGTCTCAGTCATACGATGATGAAACACCTGTTCGTTCACAAGGGCCCGTTTTCCACCACCAAAAACCCCAGCATATCCCCCATCCCACACCCTCTCCCTACCTGTGGGGCAGATGATTTCCACTTTACTCTCACTCTACTTTGATTACATTCAATATTTTGACACCAGACCCACCATTGTTATTTGGGATTTTACCCCAACACTCACATCTGCCAAAAAGGCAATCATAGACAATTTGTTTTCTATTGCTGATTATGAATAACATATGATATCACGCAGCCGTAGTAGTGGCCACACTATTTTGGAATTCCAAAATGTTAACAATTAACTCTGGAGGGATTTCCGCTGGGCCACCGAGCCGCCGGGGTAACAGGCCAAAGCATGAAACCTATTCCCACCTGGGGTGGCACGGCACCGGAATCTTACTGTGGGGACCGGACGGATTTCTTCCAAAAGCCCCTGGGTTCCTAGATTTGTTTCTGAGTCTCTTGGATCATGGCCGCTTAAGCAGCTTAATCAGGAGCCAGAGAATAATCCATTATTTTTCACACCACACTAGACTTTCCTGTTGTTAAATGCTTAAAGTCTAATTCCAATTCCCACAATAAGTTTAAAAAAGCAACCTGCCTAGAGAGATAGTATTAAGATACTTAAGAGATAGGATTAAGATGCTTGCTTTGCATGTGGATGACCCTACTTTGATCCTCAGCTCCACAAGCATTGCCAGAAGCAATCTTTAAGCAAAGAGCCAGGAGTAAGATCTGGCCCACTTGATTGTGGCCCAGAACAAAACAAAAAAGCAACTGGACTACTAAGAGTGGTCCCTGAGCATTGCCAGATGCGTCCCACTACCTTCAAAAAGAAATTAAGCCAAGCATGTAGCTAAGCAGTAGAGCACTTGCCTTTCATGTGTGAGATCCTGGATTCCATCCCTAGCAAATCCCCTGCTGTCTCCCAAAATAGCAACCCACAGGGCCAGGGAAATGTCACAGAGGGCTAGAATACATGCTTGGGATGAGCAGACAGAGTGAGATCCCCAGCGCTGCCATCAGTACTCTGAGCCTGTGGGGCCTGAATACCTCACATCAGCACCAAGCACTGACCCATCTATTCTGCTTAGGTGGACACTGCCCCAGCATCCTTGGGGCCTTCCTCCTCCCCCCACCCACCAAAGAAAGCTATTATTGCTCAATTACTTCTCTCCCTATTCTAATCCTAAATATATCAACGCTCCACTAGAAATGTAGACAGTGGAAACACAACAGAATAAAATGCTTTGATGAGGCAAGGTTTAAAAATCTACTTTAAGTGCTTCATTTTTGGGAAGGGGTTGATTCAGTGGTTCTGGGAGGACATGTAGCACTGGGGACTGAACTTGGGGAGCTATCCCCCAGGTCCCTAAATGGGGACTGTTAAATTTCAAAACAATCATGTTCTTGTCTTTGTCCCCAAATCTTTTACTCTGGGAATGAGATTTTAGGCAAATTATTGCAATGAATATACCTTACAAAATTCACTACAGCAGAGTTCGTTGCTAATAACTATCACCTGTCTATTTTTAATAGTTGCTGCAAATAATACAGGTCAATAACTAGGTTATATTATAATTCAAAGCAATTATCATTATTTAGGGCAGATTTGAATAGAAATGCCCATATATAACTAGCTGATGATAAAAGAAGTCATCAGAGACAGGGAAAGAGCTGGCCAGAGGGCTGATGTCCTTCCTGTAGCACACAGTGCAGCCCGATGCACATACGTCCTGCTCTTTAGTGGCTGAGACCTAGTAAATCCTTCAACTATAATCATTTATTTTTCCAAAGTATAAATTTACAATTTTTCTTTCAAAAATCTTTAATCAATTATCACCCTGAGGGTAAACTTAAGTTAAGTGATCACCCTGAGGGTAAACTGTTCTATCTCTCCCTCACACCATATACAGAAAAAAGTTAAAAAGTAAACAAAATACTAGTAAAAAAATTTTTTTATAAACCTGAAGAGAAAAACATAAATAGTAAGCTAGAAAGTATCTATCAGGGCTAGTGAGATAGTACAGCGGGCAAGGTACTTGCCTTGCATACACAGATCTGGGTTTCAATACCTGGTAACACATATGGTCTCCCAAGATCTGCCAGGAATGATCCCTCTGAGCAAGAGTCGGGAGTAAGCCTTGAGAACAACAGGGGTGTCTCAAACACCAAAAATGTAGAAAATTGAAACGTTTCCATCTTTGGGACCAGAGAGAGAACACAGAAAGGTAAGGCACTTGCCTTCTCTGTGGCTGTGGCTGCAACAACAGTTGGTCCAGATCCCTTTGCCACATATGGTACCCAAGGCTGCCAGGTGAGACCTGAGTGCAGTTACTTCCGCTCCCAAATAGTACTGATCTTGGGGCAGGAAGATAGCTCAAAGGCTAATGCACACGCTCTGCATGCTAGGAGGATCTCAGAGCACCAAGAGACAGGAGCAGCCCCTGAGCACATTTGGGCACGCATGCAGCACAAACACGCACAAGCACACACAAACACACAATCACATAAATCACAATGAAAAATATTATCAAAAATGTATGTGAATATGAAAGCATGCTTAAAAAGCCTCCAGGCTATGTACAATCAGCCAGCACTGACAATATTACTTTTATGGGGTGGAGAGGTTATGGGCTGGAAGGAAGAGGGAATTATGTTAGGCTTAGATCTTAATTATACATTTCTTTTTTTTTTTTTTCCTTTTGGATAACACCCAGTGATGCTCAGAGGTTACTCCTGGCTCTGCACTCAGGAATCACTCCTGGCAGTGATTAGGGGACCATATGGGATGCCAGGGATCGAAACCAGGTTGGCCATGTGCAAGGCAAATGCCCTACTGGCTGTGCTATCACTCCGGCTCCCTTAATTACACATTTCTATAAATTAAAAACTGTGCTGGGGGGCGGGGGGGTTGGAGCGATAGTACATTGGGTAGAGGGTTTGCCTTGCACATGGCTAACCCAAGTTTGATCCCCAGCATCCCATATGGTTCTCCAAGCACTGTCAAGAGTGATCTCTTACTTCTGCAGAGCCAGAAGTAAGCCCTGAGTATCACCGGGTGTGACACAGAAAGTCAGAAAGTCAAAGAGCCAAAAACCAAAAACCAAAAAAACCCTGAAGAACAAAAAATGAAACACACAAAATCAGTGCTGGGGATCAAATCTACACAAAGTATGTGTTCTACTGCTAAGACACATCCCCAGTCTAAAATTTGGATGCTTGGGGCTGGAGCGATAGCACAGCGGGTAAGGCATTTGCCTTGGACATGGCCAACCCTAGTTCGATTCCCAGCATTCCATGTGGTCTCCCGAGCACTGCCAGGAGTGATTCCTGAGTGCAGAGCCAGGAGTAACCCCTGTGCATCACCAGGTGTGACCCAAAAAGAAAAAGAAAAAAACAAAAACAAAAACGAGTGCTTACCAAAAGCTTATATAATTTTATTATCAGGGGGGAAAAAAAAACCCAAAAAACCCAAACCACCTTACTCTTTGGGGTGGGGAAGAAAAAAAAGGAACAGGACCAGGGAGATAGTTCAGCAGCTGGAGCACTTGGCTTGCATGTAGGAGACTGGGTTCAAATCCCAGCATCACATGGTCCCCTGAACACGAATAGGTGTACACCAAAACAAAACAAAAAGGTAAAACCTTTTTTTTTTTTTGCCATACCCAGCAGTGCTCAGAGCATGCTCCTGGCTCACCCTACCCACTGTGTACTATTTCTCAGAACCCCAAAATAAAACTTTTAAAAATAAAACATGTCCTTAACACTAAATTCTAAATATCCTCTTTTTCTTTCTGGCCAATCTAAACAATCCTAATAACTGAAGAACGTTTTGTTACTCTACAGCACACGGCTGTATTTTCAGACCCTGATCATATTCTGCAGTTTAATCTTTCCACTGATGTACCTAAAGCAGCACGCATGTGTTTGTTTTAAACATACTTGCTTGTACTCTCTTATATACATTCTCTGTCCCTCTTGAAGAGCCCAGCAAGTTACTGAGAGTATCCTGCCAGCACGACAGAGCCTGGCAAGCGCCCTGTGGCATATTCGATATGCCAAAAACAGTAACAGTAACGGATCTCATCCTCTGGCCCTGAAAGAGCCTCCAATACGGTACCATCGGGAAGGACGAGTAAGGAGAGGCTGCTAAAACCTCAGGGCTGGGACGAATGGAGACGTTACTGGTGCCTGCTCGAGCAAATCGATGAACAACTGGATGACAGTGACAATGATACAGTGAATCTTTCCTAACCTACATTTCAGCTCTTTATCTTGCCACAGAAGAACTAACAATTTTGTATTACACTTTACAAACAACATTAAAATAACAACAAAAGTGCTAATACATACATTTAGGTATTTGGGAACACATCACTAAAGCAGGATAACAAGACCTTTTGTCTAAATTTAACAAATCACAAAAGCTAACTTGGTATATAAAGTGAGGTGGTTTTTCAGAGTTTGCTTTTATTTTATTTTTAAAAAAGTAAGTCATTTCCGGTTTGGTTGTTCCTATATGTCTAATCTCTTCTCTCCCAATTTAACTAGCAGATACCAAATCAAGCTATAAAAAACTCAGTCATTAATCTATATCCCCCCAAAATGAAGTTTTGCTCAAATTTATGAGGATGGTGGAAAGATGAGAGTAACATACTACGGGAAATACAGATGCTGCGAGCATGGGGAGAAGAAAATAATCATCACCTTCAAGCCCCCCACCCCCACCCCCACCCCGGCAGCTCCATAGCATAGAACCACTATTAGTGGATAGAATTAACAGGGATACAGATTCTAGCTTAAAATTTGTTTACTTTTTTAGGGCACGCTTAGGGAACGAGGTGGTGCAGTAACCTGAACCAGGGCCCCTAACACACAAAACCTGTACTTTACCTCCCCAGTCTCTTCTGACTTCCATTACTGCGCTACACCCAGTGGAGCTCAGGGACTATTGCAGGCTCTGGGTTCCAGAATGGCCTCTGGTGGTGCTCAGAGGACTCACATATGGAGCAGGGGATGGTGGGATGCAAGGCAAGCGCCTTAATGCCTACACTCTCTCTCTCTGGCCTCGACTCAGTATTTTTAACAAATTATTTCTAGAGGCTTACTTATTTAAGATACTAAGAATACCGAAACACATGTTAATAAGAAAGTCAAAGTCCTAGCCTACTATATATATATAGGATGCCATCAGTCCACCAAAAATGAGAGGAAAGGCCGCGGATTTGACTCAAGTGGCAGAGCACATGCTATTCATGCGCATGGTCCCAATTTCCAGCAGGCACGGCACCCCCTCCCACCCCCTGCCAAAGGCGAGAACCAAGTCAAAGGATGATAAACAGAAAGAAGGTAGCGGGCTACCTTTCCAGTACACTGCAGGTGCTGTCCTGGCACGGAGAGGGAGGTCACAAACATGGTAAAGCAGCGAAGCAAGAATACAGTGCCCATCAGACTACAGAGCCTTCGCAGAAGGATTGACCTGTGAACAAAGCGACCAAAAAAAGGGGGAGAGAGATCAGAAGAACACAAAACAAAAAAACCCCAAGTAACAAATATTTCTCAAACAGAGAGCAGGCAGGAAAACTTCGAAACTTTTTGAAGAGGACAGAAATCTTATGAGACCATCTGAAGAGTCACTGTCCAAAAGACTTTCCCACAATGGATACATTCTAAAAACTAGCAAGTTATCAACATAGCCCCGGAGCTCTCTAAATGTTGCAGTACCTCTGAGAAAATAAACCTTAGCTTTCATTTTCATTAATTACTATTCAAAAGTTATAGATGGCCAGTACCTGCCATACTGGATGATGGTCTTTTGGAGTTTCTGCTTTGTTTTGGTTTTGGGGCCCACCCAATGGTGCTCTGGGCTGACTTTTGGCTTTGAACTCTGGGATCACTGTCAGGGCTTGGGGGAGCTTATGTGGGGCCAGGGAATCACACCCGGGTTGGGCGTGTGCAAGACAAGCGCCTTACTAGCTGTACCATCTCTTCAGCCCCAATGGACAGTGTTTTATTTTGTTAATACCCTATTATTATAAAAGAACAACTGCACTGATAAGAAATACTTATCTAAAAGAAAAAATCTTATGCACTAGAAGAAAGCATAAGATTTATGCAAGAAGGAAGAATTGTGGCTCAGCTGACTCTTAGTCTAGAGTTAGGCTTATTAGTCATATATTACTCGTACATTTACTTACTAGAGGTAAAGTTAAATAAGTGGTAGGAAGGGTATTTTGAGCGATACAGACATTAGCATGGCCCCCGAATAAGAATGACATGCGAGTTCGTGAAGCCTTCTGTATTTTTAGGGAGCATGGGAACACTGGTGGATGAAAGTCAACACTGGTGGTGGGATTAGTGCTGAAACACTGTCTGCCTAAAACTCAACTAACAATGACTTTGTAAATCGCAATTCCTTAAATAAAAAAGATTTAAAATAAGTTATGATTTGGTTAATAAAGGTAATACTATTTAATCATTTAATTTCTAACTTCAATTTATTAGGTTAATTAAATTTATTAACTTCAACAAATTTATTGAATCTGTTAGTTTGTTTTGTTTTTGTTTGAGGGCCACACCCAGTGATGCCCAGGGCTTATTCCTGGCTCTGCGCTGAGGGATCACTGCTGGTGGGGCTTGGGGGACCGTATTGTAGTGCTGGGGATCAAACCTACATCAGTCAAGTGCAAGGCAAGCACCCTACCTGCTATACTATCTCTCTGGTCCTTAAGTCTATTTTTTTTTTCTTTTTTTGCTTTTTGGGTCACACCCAGTGATGCTCAGAAGTTACTCCTGGCTCTGCGCTCAGGAATTACTCCTGGCTGTGCTTGGTGCTTGGGGGACTATATGGAATGCCGGGGATCAAACCCAGATCAGCTGCATGCAAGGCAAACGCCTTACCCTCTGTACTGTCACTCCGGCCCTCCTTAAGTCTATTTTTAATTATTTTTACTTTATTATTTTTGTGGTGCTAAGAATCAAACCCTTGCAAGGTATCACACATGCAAGGCAAGTGCTCTACCACTGAGCTTCAAAATTCTTAGCCCTTATTTAATTTTGTTATTTTTTTTAATGCTTGAAAGTTATTTAAGCCATAGTCTTCTGTGCTTCTGTTTTCATGCATTAAGCTAAGTGGGCTTCTATGCAACTTTCCTATCTAATTTTCTCTGCTCCTACTGGGCTGTCATTATTGTGAAATCTGGAAGCGTTCAGGCGCTGTGGAACTGGGATGTTCAGCAGCACAGCCCTTTAGCTAGATCATCTGTATGCCGCAGGAAGCAGGTGTGGGTGAAACGCAGGGCAGGGACTCAGCCCACCCCCAAACCAAGAAGGCTCCAGAGATCAAGGCCCAGAGACCAGGCCGATTTGGCTCTGCTGTGGCATCTTTCTACTTTTATCTAATTTAAAAATATTTATTTATTTTTATGGTTACAACACCTGGCCATACTTGGGAGCTATTCCTGGTTCAGAGCCTGGGAGTCATTTCCAGCAGGGACCAATGGCCACAGGAGACTGATCAGGCTACCTGATACAAAGCATGAACTCCAGCCCACTGAGCATATCCCTGGTCCCTAAAGTAATAAATTTTACATTAAGTATGTCTCAAATAAAAAATTCAAACAAACAGTTATATGGGTCATCATGAACTACACTGTGACATAAAGTGTACTGTGGTGTTATTTTTTAGCATCTTGGAACAGATCATACAACTCTTTGTGGAAGCTGGAGCGACAGCAGGTTGGGCACTTGGCTTATATACAAACCTGGATTCTATGCTGGGGACCACATATGGTTCTCCAATACCCCAAGGAGAGAATCCCGAGCATGGCCAGGTATGGCACAAAAACTGAAAAACAAAACATTTGGAGGGAGGTTTGGGAAGCTTCCCAGCAGAGCTCAGGGCCTTAGGCCACTCTCTGCTGTTCAGTGTTTGGCCTGGTGATTCAGTACTGCCTGGCTGGGGGGCTGGGGGCCAGGCTGGGCCATCCACACCCACTGGCGCAGATCAAACCTGTAAATATAAAATGTGCTCCAGCACTCGGGGCTCTCCCGAGTTCCTCTTAATTCTTTTTCAAAATTTTTGGGGAGCAGATAATCAGGCTCTTAAGTACAGAGATGATGCTTCACCTATTGTTGAAATGCTCCTCCGCCCTCTGGAAAGGCACTGTTAAAGGGACCAGGGAGGGGCCGGAGTGATAGCATAGCAGGTAGGGCATTTGCCTTGCACGCGGCCGACCTGGGTTCAATCCTCGGCATCCCATATGGTCCCCCAAGCACTGCCAGGAGTAATTCCTGAGTGCAGAGCCAGGGATAACCCCTGAGCATCGCTGGGTGTGACCCAAAAAGAAAAAAAAAAAAAACAAAAAACAAATTAAGGGAGCATATGACTAGCACAGCACGTCTGTGCCCTACGTTTGATCATGATACGATGGTGGGCCCTAAGCATTGGAAGCCTGGGCACCACCAGGCGCGGCCTTTATTTCATTTTTAGGCTTTTGGGGTCACATCTGACGATGCTCAGGTGTACTTCTTCTACTCGGCTGTCATGCCTGGTTCTGCACTCAGGAATCGCTCCCAGCAGTGCTCAGGGGACCATACAGGATGCCAGGTATTGAATCTGGTCGACCACATGCAGGGCAAATGCTCTACCAGCTGTACTATCATTCCGCCCTGGCCTTCATGTTTTTTAAAAGCACAAAACACATTTTTTTTTGTTTGGGGGGGCCACACCTGGTGGTGCTCACTTGACTCTGTGCTCAGAAATAATCCTTGTTGGGGCTCCGGGGGCCATATGGAATGCTGAGGATCAAACCCGGGTTGGCCATGTGCAAGTACAGCCCTGTCCGCTGTACTATCACTCTGGCCCCTGGTTAGGTATGTTTTAAACTTTAACATGTAACCCTGTGTAGAGCCTAGGAATCTAAAACTTTAACCACTAGTACAGAGAAACACTTTCTTTGAATAAACATTAAAACTTGCATTTAGCTGACCACTGCTAAGTTTTGCTGTATCTATCAAGATTTTCTAAACTCTTGTTCAGAAGAATGACTTCAAATTTGTAGTCTTCTGAGTCCAAGTTAAACTACAGAGCAATTGGAAACATGTATTGGAAAATAACCTACTTTTAAGCAAACCATAGATTTGCTGGAGATTTAGAATAATGACGTTTAATATAGCCATAAAAATCACCAACTCTTCTTTTCACCTTCAAACTAATAGCTACTTAGAACCAAAGCCTTCTGGTGAGGAGAAAGAATAAAAAAGTTCAGAAAGGTGTTCTTAATCCTCTTCACTGTCCAAAGGCAATGGATAGTTGCTTCACAAACTTTTATGGTTCTTTAATTTCTTTTTTCTTCATTACATTAAAAAAAAAAAACTTAATCATTTCGGAGCTGAAGTGATAGCACAGCAGGTAGGGCGTTTGCTTTGCACGCGGCCAACCCGGGTTCGATTCCCAACAACCCATATGGTCCCCTGAGAACCACCAGGAGTGACTCCTGAGTGCAGAGCCAGGAGTAACGCCTGAACATTGCCAGGTGTGACCCACAAAGGCAAAAAAAAAAACCTTAATTATTTTCCCCCACTGAAATTGGAAAGAACCTCTATACTTCTTTATTTTTGATTTAAAAAAGAATTTCCCTTTATATACCTTGAGTAAAAATACAGAAAAGTTGGAGAGAGAGCAAAACATGGCTTGCATGTGCAAGACCCGGGTTCAGCTCCCAGCATCACCAGTGTGGCCCCCAAAACAAAACTAAACGAGAAGGAGTCTGACAAACTACATTAGGGTTAAGATGCCTGCCTTGCATGCAGCCAAATCCCTGGCTCTGCATGGTGCCCAGGCAAGTCACGTGTAGCCCCCAGAAAAGCAACAAATACCAAAGAAACAGTTTCCCTATTCAGCAATTTTTATACCATCTGAACTACATACATAATATGTTTTTTAAAAAGAAATAGAAAACCTTTCTAAGGACTCTCCAAGTAAAGAACAATTCCCTCCCTCTACCATCCCTGCTGCCCCCTTTTGTACCAAACATTAAGCCAAAAAGTCCTTGGGGGAGACTGTTTGTTTTGGTTTGGGGGCCACTCCCAGCATTGCCCAGGGGTTGATCCTGGCTCTGCACTGAGCAATCACTCTTTCAGCTCTGGGATGCTGAATGAAGATCAAACTGGTTGGCGGAGTGCAAGGCAAACACCTACTCACTGCACTATCCCTCCAGTCCCTGGGAGTTTCTATTCTACAGAATCATGTTTATGATTTGTTTCCGAAGAAAGAAAAAGTCAGGGGCTAGCGTGACAGAACAGCAGGGAAGGTAGTTGCCTTGCATGCAGCCAACTTGGGTTGGTCCCTGGCACCCCATCTAGTCCCCCATCTACCCAGCCCCATCAGGAGTGATCCCGGAACACAGCAGGGTGTGGCCTCAAAACTAAACAAATCCCCTCCACAAAAAAATATAATTATAGTATCAACAACCCATGGCTGTCAGCACCATCTCTGCCTTCTTCCTGTAAAATACATTCATAATATTACTATGTAGTATATGTAGTTATTATCTTTGGCTAACTATTTTTGATCAAACCCTGATTTTCCTTCATCGATAAATATAATGTCACAATGAATGGAGAAGGAAATTAACAAGAAAAGTGCAAAGGGAAAGACCATGCTTGATGTTCACAGACAGTAAACACCTTGATCTTCAGAATTAAGTGAGGTACCTGTGCTTGTGAAGAAGAAGAACCAGGAGCCAAATATAGCACAGAATCACACCACATACTTCTGTCATGGCAAAGGCCCATGGGATCCGTGGAACGCTAGAACAGAAAAAGAAAATGACTTTTTGGGCTGAAGAGAAGTATATGCACATGAACAATACCATCCCTTTCTATAAAATATGCTTAAAATACTGATGTTAAATTGCTTTCTATAATTTTCCTCTCTTCCTCGTACTACATGGGCGAGGGTGGAGAAACTTCCCCCAAATACCTCATTTATCAGACCCTGTTTGTTGCCTGTGATCCACGTTAGGGGTTTCTATTAAAAAGCAAGAACCCTTTCCTCCCTCCCTCTAGTTGGCAAACCTGGATAAAGAGGAAAAAAGCTCACTGCATGCCCAGTGCACTCCTTTCAGATCCAGACAACCAAGCGTGAATTTACCTCTTTTTTCAAAAAAAATTTGTTTTAGTTTAACTAAGAACCATGATTTACAAAGTTACCAATAGTTGGGTTTTAGGCATACAACAGTTCAACATCAATCCCACACCCAGTATTCCATTCTCCCTCCCATCACCGACCCCCACGCCCGCCACCTTGACATTTCAGAGTTCTGTGGTTATAGTGCAGATCTCCTGTTTCCAATGTCATTGAGTCGTGCTTTGGATACACAGCTATATGGCTCTCCATACTCAACAAACCATACCCCCAACGCTCCTGACGCCCATTCCACCATTACATCCCTTTCTTTTCTTTCTTCCCCTCTTGATTTCCTTCTCTGTCCTTCTCCTCCCTATACTCTGGGGTCAAGGCTGATCTAGGATCCCTCTTTTACTACCTTACATTTCCTCATCCAGTTATTTTATATACAACTGACAAGTGGGGTCATTCTGTTTGTCCTTCTTCCGGCTTACTATACTCAACATATCTTCCTGTTCCAACCAGATTACAACAAACTGCGTGATTTCATCTTTCTTTACAGTTGCATATTATTCCATTTTGTATATATGCCACATCTTCAAAACTCATTCATCTGTTGTTGGACACCTAGGCTGATTCCATACCTTAGCTAGTGTACTAAGCGCTGCGATGAATATTGGTACACGTATGTCCTTCTGAAGGCATGCTTTTCTGTTCAACAGTGGAACTGCTGGATCACGTGGCAGCTCAATTTTAAGTTGACCCAATTCTAAGAGATCTCTTCACACTGTTTTCGTGAGGGGTTAGGTCCCCTTTCAATACACTTTATTGCTGAGGGGGCAATCTTTGGTGGTGCTTATGGTGACCAGGAAGTTCAAGGGACCAAACCCAGGGACTTGCACATGCAAAGCATTCCACCAAGCCAGGTCCCCAGGCTCCAAACAGGGAAACACTTATCGAAATTCATATTATCAAGCAGTGGGGAATGTGGGCGCAGGAATGAAGAGTTGGAGTAAGAGGAGTTTTGGGCACACTGGTGGTAGTGAGATATAGTAACTTTGTACTTCATACCATAAACACTAGTACTGTTGTAACCATGTTACACAAATTAAAGTGAAAATTAACTTCTTAATTTTTAAAATAAACACTTAAAAATAGCATATATGTATATACATTTACATGTAAACACACACATAGATGTCTACAATGTTTACAATGAAAATCCCCCCCCCCCCCCCGCCCATCCTAACCCTCATTCTTATTTCTTACTCCCAGAGAGGCACTTTCATTCTTAAGTGTCTTTATCTGTCTTATCTTGTAGTCATACATTACACACATTTTCTCTTTTCCCATGCTCTCATTATTTCACAATTTGCCTAAAACACATGTTGGCTTTAAAATTTAATTTTCTATCTTACTATCATTGGGGGCAGTGTTGGGGACCATATCCGAAATAACTCAGAAATAATTCCTGGAGGTGCTGGGCAATGAACTGTGATCAGCATGCAAGGCTTTATTTCTCTGGCCCATACATTTTGGCTTTTATTTAATGAACATCTGTATTTCTCGGGGGAATGAAGGTGTAGGCCATATCTAAGTGTACTCAGGAGACCATATATGGTGCTAGGATCAAGCTAGGTCAGCTGTTTGCAAGCCAAGGAAGTGCTTTAACCTCTGTACTATCCCTCTGGTCTCTAAATGTAATTTTATAAATATTCATAGCTTTATAAATATCTTTATGTTTATAAATATTCTTTATAAATATTTATAAATAAACTTTATAAATATTCATTGATCTCAAGAGAGAACAATGATTAATACATTCATTCTTTAAAGCTAGTAAATAACATATTTTTATAGTATTAGGGACTGGACCCAGGTCTTCACACATGCAAGGCAAGAGCCCTGTTTCTAAGCTATATGCCCGATCCCTGTAAATGTTTTTAGTTTTGTTTCCTGTGTGTCTATCTCCAAATTATTCTATCAATTATTCTGTCAATTTTAGTTTTCCTTGAAGAAAATATCTCCTCTTTCCCCTCTTATTCCAGTTTAGAAATAGCTGTACTTCCCAGTCTTGCTGCATTACTATTTCTTAGAATAAGTAACAGAAGAATGCTGAATTCTTTTAGGAATTCTTCTTTATACTGAACGGACTTTCCTAAATCTTATAGATCTCTTTCTCAGTTTGCCACCATTATTATTATTATTATTATTATTATTTGGGGGGGTTCTCAGGGATCCCTTCTGGCAGTGCTGGTGGGGCATTTGTAGTGTAGGGATCAAAACAGGATCAGTGCTCAGGGATCAAGCCTGGTGGTGCATGGACTGAACAGGGGTCAGCCACAGGAAAACCAAGCACCACACCCCTCCAATATCTATCTCTTCAGCCTGGATTTCCAAGTTTTGTCTCTTAAACTTTCAGGATCTTCTGTTTATATCCAGTGTTCCGCAATCACCATTATGGGTCTTGGTATTAGTTGTTCATTTCTTGTATACTGGGTGCTTTGAGGACCTTTCAGTCTGGAAAGTAAAACCCTTTGATTCTTTGAAATTTTTTCATAAAATATCCCCTCATTTTCTCACTGTATTCTTGCCCAAAGTTTTACTAGCCTATTGTTGGGCCAAGTGAATTGATCTTCTTTTCTTTACTTTTAATTTTTGTTCTACGTGCTACATAGTTTCATGAAATTTATGTCCCAATAATCAGACTGTATTTCAAACGTCTCCTTTCAGTTCTAATTTCTGCAAAACTTTTCTTGTTTCATTTTTTAGCATTTTATTTAAAGCCACTCTTACATATATTAGTTTCAGGTATACAATATGATAATTACACATTTGAATACACTGTGAAATGGCTACAACAAATGTCTATTTCCCATCTAATTAATAACTTTAAATTTTACAATGTAACATTATTGCCTATAGGCCCTGCACTGTGCATTATACCCCCCATATCTTATTTTGTTGTCTTTTTGAAATTCTTTTATCTCCTGATCTTCCAAAGCTTTTGTTCCTTCTGAATTTCCCCGTTTTATAGTTTGTAGGTACTATGTCTTAAAATTTAGTTTTTCTCTTTGGCAGGGGGAGGAAAGGAGCTTCAGCCATACCTGGCAGTGCTCAGGTACTACTCCTGGCTCTGTGCTCTGAAGTGACACCTGGAGGTGCTTGGGAGACCAAATGTGGTACCAGGGATTTGAACTGGGGTGAGCGGCACACAAGGTCTTAACCTCTGTACGATCTCTCTGGCCAAGGTCTCTTATCTCTCTGAGAAAACAGTGGTTTGTTTTTTAAGCACTCTTCTTCCCATTTTGTGTTTCTTGGTTTTCTTTTTCGTTTTTCCCTCCTAACTTTAAATGCCATGGTTTACAAAGCTGTTCAGAATACAGTTGTTTTGGGCATTCAATGTTCCAACTCCAATCCCACCAGCTCCTGGTTTTCTTTTTTTCCTGTTTCATTAGTCTGTTTTCCTCATACACCTACTGATTCCTGACCATTCATATTTGACAGGAGGGCACTAAATTTTTAAAAGATTATCTATGGCCATAGACATAGTTTGTCCAATTGTGGATTTTAATGCAGTGTCTGGGGGGAGGTCTACCTCCCTTATGACAGTAGGTATGGTCCTTTTCTTTTTTGGCATGTTTCTAAGAAGAAATCTTTTATTCTTTTGGAACAGTGAGGCCGGGTGGAAGTGGAGGCAGAAAATAAGCTTAACTACTTGAAGGAAGTTCAAAATCTTGAAGGAAATGATTAGAAAGTAGTCTCAAAGTTAACTTCTTTAAAAATTGCTGTGAACATGTTTCTTTGTAATTCATCTGGGCATGGGAGGGGGGGTGTTACCAAAACCAGATGCCTTACATTCAACTGCTTTCAGTAATGTACCACCACCGGCCTTCTACAAGAGTAGAGCAAGACTAAAAGCTTCTTAAATCAACATAGAACCATTATCTCCATATTAAGCACCTACTTATACCCAGTGTTGAAAGGCTCGATGCTCCCTACTTGGAAAGGTTCTCTTCTTCTAGAGCTCACTAGTGCAGATTAACTCACTTCCTGGGCACTTCCAGCTGCACTCCAATTTCACAACAGGCAGTTAGATTTCTCCTTTCCAAATTTACATTATCATTACTGTGTTTGCCTTCGTGGGACTGTAGGATTCCTCCTCCACTATCATTTTAGCAGAGTGCTGTGACAATATTGTCAAACATGAGTTCAAATATTTCACATTGCTCTTGATGCAAAACTTCTTAGAATTCATCACGCAGTTATGTTGTATTTTTCTGAATATGATTCTTTCCTAATTCAGAGTCTTCGCTATGGACAATGGTTATTACACTGATTATGGCAATGACCTCAGAGACTACAGAGGAACAAAGGACAATTAAGTCCCAGATTGATGTGGTTTTGCCACTATTTATGCTTGCTTTTTATAGTGTTTGTATTTCCTCCCTTGCTGTTATGGATATCAGGTCTCTATTATCTCTATTATAAGTAGGACTGCCTTTAATTTTTTGCTTCAGATTTACTGTTTACGATGCACTTAAGTTTTTGGAATTCTGTCAAATGAAATTCAGAAAAAAACATCAGTGTGAAAGAAATTAAGAGTTTTCCCAAGGGAAAGTCAGAGGATAGAGGGGAAATGAGATCAGGAAGGCAAGGAAGCAAGGCAAGGGTGAAGCAT